ACGAAGACTGTACCCACGTTTCCATTTAGTAGCGTTCGAGAGTTTAATAACTCGTGGTGCGAACTCTCTGAAGCCTGAATATCAAAGTTGAAAACTTTCCTTAAGTGGGTAAAGCTTTTCCTGCGAAACAATGTAATTTTTTTTTTGCTTTTTTGAGAATCTGAAGTTTATAGTGAAATCGTAGTTACTACACTTTACTTTTTTGATCGAACAAATAATAAGAAATTAAAAATTTGATGTTAATATTAACAAACTGTAACTAAAAATTTAAGACCCATTTATATGGATAATAAAGGCGCCAAATACCTCTTTTGTAGAGATGCCAATAACAGAAACAGAAAAATTAAATTCGTTTTCTAGTTACAATTTTTGTTAACCTTTTCTGTTTATTTTTTCTATTTTGTATATTTCTGCTTTTTTATCCGCAATATATGCAAAAATGTCAATGAGGAATTTTTCCTCTCTTTTTTTTTTTAAATGAAAGAAGCCTTATCTAAGGGGATGTCAGCATTTTTAGAATGATCATCCTCTTATCCTTATAATGACGCCCACGTGACTTATTCGCTTCGAACTGAAGCCATTATTGCGCTCAGTGGCAGGAGAAAGGCTGCTTACAAGAGAGACAAAAGCCCACCTGAAACTTATCGTGTAGCTTATCCTGAAATTAAACGCTGTCGGTTATCCGGAGCTTTTATTCGATTCGAGATGCGACAGTGGAGATAGGGTGTGTGCGGACCACGAGGGAGCGAAATAACGCCAGAATTGAAAGCATATATATATAGTATATATAAGGGAGGGTCGTAGCATCCTGGGAAATGAGAATCAGAGACCCTCGAGGGTTAAAATTAAAATGGCTGTCACATGCAGTCGAGATCTCAAGTTTCAAGCACTAGAAATTTGTCTCCTATATGTGACACATTACATTTTATATAAAACCTTTTGTTTAACTGATGATGTTGGAGAACAAAATTCGCATCTCCGTTATGAATTTGTTTGAATCTATTTTTAATTTATTTAAAATTAAAAAAGATAAAAATTAAAAGATGAATTTTATAATTTGGATGGATTTTTCAAAATTTACATTTCTTTATTCTAAAATTCGTTTGTTATTTCTGATGAAAAAATATAATTTAGATTTTTTTGAGAGAGCAAAAAAAGGAGTAGATGAAATTCGAACACCCGTTAAATTTGCCGCTTCTAACGCAACCAGTTTCTGCGTCGTGAAGCCAATTTCGCAAAGGGTGCTTTCATATGAAGAGAGACCCCACACTGCCTTCAGGGGTTGAAATTAAAATGACAATAAGGGCAAATCCGAAGGGTGCCTAAAAATACGTTCCCTTAAAATCAACCAATCATGAGCAGATTTTCCAAAAGCCGCCATTGCTATTTGCTTTTCTGTCATCTTCTCGAGCCATTTGCATCTGGAATTTTCAAGTAATATAAATTCCATTTTAGATTACAAAAATCGCTCTATTCTTTTTTGAAATTGGTATCATATCCTCTGACAATCATTTATTCTTTTACTCCCCATCTTTCGTTTAGAATAAGAAATTAGTTGCCATTTTATTTTTTCCATCTTCTCATTTGTTTTATCTTTTTTATTTATTTTGTTCTTATTTTTGTTTTATCTTTAATTATATTCCTTTTTTTCTGACAACCATTTTTTCTATATATGTATAAAGAAAAAAATTTATATACAATCAAAAGTAGACAGAGTGCAAATACACGCAAAATCTGATAATTAGTGGTCTCTTGTATAATTATGTATAGACATATATATATTGTGCAAAAGATCTACAGTAATATATATATAAAAGAAAGAATCTCTGTTGAATTGAAACCTCTTAAGAAGAAGCACTGCATTTTTCGAGAGCAATTCATGCTATAACTTTTTTTTTCATTCGTTTTCATTCATGCTTCACCAGTGAGAGACAAAAATATAACAGGATAAAATTATTTAATCTACCCATCTTGTATATATATATACGCATTTAAACGCCCTTCAAATTTTTTTCTATTTGAAAAATACAGAAAAATAATCCTCTCATCTCGTTTTCCTCTTTTCAATTCAAAAAGATTGTTTTTTAATATAATTTTGTTGTATATAAATTTTATTTTTTTCATATACCTTTTTATGAATAATTTTTTTCATAACTATTTTATAATATTTGTTTTGTTTGAAAATGAAAAAAAAGAGTGAATTTCTTTTTTTTATAGACGGTGTTGATTATTGAATGGTTTATAGATCGGGGCGGGTTCGAGTGCTTTTTGCGGTCTTTCGATTCATCGTATACACAATAATATGACGGAAATGTCAGTCAATTAATAAGCATAACGAGAACCTGACTAATTTCCTCTTTTGTCGTTAGTAAAACTGTTCCCTAAGATGGATGAATAAGTGGCCATTATGCGGCTTTTATGATTGGTCAGATCCGTATCTCGACAGCCGGTTCCGCTTTTCAATATTATATGTACCAAACACTGTATAGTATATATACCGTACGTCAAAACTTTTTTTTTATTAGTTTTTAAAAGCGTGCACGTGCCGGCAAAATCATTTCTTCATTTTCAAAATAAAGCCGTGTAAAGGCTAACATACCTGCGCTTTCTATTAGGCAATTAAGGTTTGGCAAAATTTTCATAAAATTTTTGTAATAGATTTTCATTTTATTAATTTTCAGTATATTATTTGGTTAGAAACTAATGTACCAGTTTTTGACCATGCTAAAAATTAGTATGAACCATATTAAATTTGGGTTTTATTTATTTGGAAGTACTAGTTGTCTTTTCAGAACGTACCAGTTTCTGACCATACTGAAAAATATTCTGGACCATATTAATTTTCGGTATTTGTTTAAAAACTGATCGTATAAAATATTTCCAGTGAAATGTTTATTATTTGAGAATTTACATAAAATTAGTTTTCCATATTAGAAATTTTGATATTTTTTTTACGGATTGAATGTGTTTTTTCAATTTCTTGTATGTTAATTTTCACTTTTAGGTCTCGCCCTCTGATTATTATTCAAGCTAGAGAAAACCATGAATAAATCTGTATGCGAATGCTGTTTCTCCATTGGTGTAGTGTCGCTCCGGTGTGTTATTTATATACACACCGGAAGAGATTTCCCCCAACGAGGGCGAGGGTGAAACGGCTAATAAATTATTCCCATTTGCCACGAAACATATATCCCTGGATTTCCACCACCCCCTTCCATCTCTGTTTTATCCACTCCAGACACCAAGCGAGAGCGCCCTCTTTTACTTTTCGAAGCGCAGAGGGTTGAAAATGGCCGCGTGGATATGATATCAACTCCCAAGGGTTGAAGCAATTATGTGGATTTTGTCGATGATCTCAAGGATAATAATGATGGCGACGAGGATACCGCAATGATTCTCTTTGATAAGGAAAGGACTTGAAGTACCTTATGTACATGCGTTTTTTTGTATAGGCTCTCTCTCTCTCTCCTTTATTTATGTATATCTGGTCCACGTTATGGACCATGTATCGCACAAAAGGGGATGATTTCACGGGGGTGCCGAAACGGTTTCATTACACAGCTTCGCGAGGGATAATATCCTCGGATCCTTGCCATCAGCGCAAAGGGGATCAAATTCTGAATTTCAAGCCTCCGGGGATGAATGCTTCTGACCCTGTGGTACATTCTCATTGGATAAACGGAAATCCACCCGAACCATCTGTATGTAGATGCAACGGAGCTGAAAAATGATTTTTGCTTTTTCAAAATTGGGTTTGTTTCTTGCGCAATTAAATCGTTAATTAACAAACCTACAATTTCTGTTAGGAGACAGAGTAGGCGTTATCCGAATAATCAATACTAAAATCCTTTTAGTATTTGTAAACCATAATTCTAAATTAGAAATTTCATGCTACCCAAATTTTTGTGTACTCTAAAAAATTCTTTGGTCGCTAAAATCTATTGTTGCACTAACAATATATTTGTTAATACTAAAAATTTAACAAATATATTAGTGCAACAATACAGATTTGTTGTAGCTAAAATTTTATTTTATCTGTTACATTGTTTTGTAGTGGCGTATATTTAAACGTTTTTTTTTTTGTCAATGAAATAATGCTTTGAGTATATAAAGTGATAATCTTGGCTCTTGTCGCGGACATATGTATTTTTTGATATTACTGCATCACGTCGTTTTGCCGCGGTATACATATAAGCTCTTGTAAGAGGTCCTCTCTCATCGTGTCGGTACCTTTGATGAACCCATACGTTCGCCTATAACTCTTGCTATTATATTTAGAGTGTATACGTGCGTTCGCGTACGTACGATTTCGTGTGCACATATTACGATTAGTATTTAATACGCGCGCACACATTGTAAAAGGGTCCTTTCCCGTATCAGATGTTCGGAGAGCCTTAGACCAGTTATTAGACTGCTGACAGGCCCATAATCCAAAACTCTAGTTCATATAATACAAAACTCAAAAATATAATGCCTATTAACAGAAATCCATTCACTATATATATAGAAACGCAATTTTAGTATAGTATATAATGCTTAAGAAATCAAATATTTATCGTTTTAATCAAAAAGACTGTAATTTTCTATAATGTCTATATATTTTATACGTATACAAATATATTTCATTCCATAAAAATTACAAATATTGGGAAAAAAATTTTCATTCATTTTTGCAAAGTAACAATTTAACTGTTTTCAGTAAAAGATTAAAAATATTATTTTAATCCTTACTCTCTAAATCTGAATTAGTAAAAATATTTACTAATTTGAATTAGTGATTCACTTTTTGTTTCTGAATTAGTAAAATTTTACTAATTATTAGTTTAGTAACTTTTACTAACAATTAGTAAAATTTTACTAATTCAGAAGCAAAAAGTGAGTCACTAATTCAAATTAGTAAATATTTTTACTAATTCAGATTTAGAGAGTAATAAATTACTTAAAGAGTATTGATATTAAATTATAATTTTTATAATTAATAATATTTAATCTTGTTTCAGAGGAAGTAGCAAAGGAGGAGGAAAACAGAATAAGTGAGTAACGTTTCAAAATTTACATTTATCAAATTTTTTATCTGACACAATACCTTTTTTTAAAAAGAGATTTAAAAAGTTTTTTTTTTAAAAGATAAATCTAAAGAACATCACCAGACAGAAAAATTATTTTTCCAAGTACAAATTTCATATATACATTTATTTATGAAATGTAAAATATAAAAGATTTTTGATTTTTTCGAAATGCTGAAAGTGAAGCGTTTTTAGCAAACTCGTTTATACAAACTTTTTGTATATATGGTTTCATTTTTGCAAATTGCACAATTCCCCCATAGTTGAATCGTCCAGTTTCAAAATATGAATATTTCACGTTTATAAGAGCGTTAGGCAACTCACTTGCTATCGACTAACCAACCTTAAATTTCCAGACTTCTGAGTCTATTGTATAAAGCAAAAGCTGCCCCAAATATTGTGTAACACATTTTCGTTCATTTGAGCATAAAAATTTGAGAGGTTATTATATTTATAAAACGAATACATATAGTATATATGTATATAAAAGCATCTGCGTTTGAAATGCTATCGCTTGTAAAAAAAAAAAATAAAACTATTTTTTTATATTTGTAACAGTATTATATGAAATGCTAGATTTTCACAATTTAAAAAAAAAAAAGGGAAACGATTTTCTGCAGTTTAATTTAACAATTATTATTGTTGAATACGAATTTTACAAAAAAACATTTTGCGAGCCACAAATATATCACGCGAAATAATATAGTTTTAGGTAAATCTGATATATATATTGTGAAACAATTTTTCTCCATGTGCTATGAAAAAAAAACTGTTTTAAAAATAAAGAAATAAATTATTTTCTCTATATATATACAAAATCGCTGAATGTAACGAATATATATGTTCAAAATTTAACATTTTGCGAGTATTGAGAAAAAAAAATTTGCGGATTCATTTAAAACTATATTGTTATCGATATAGGGTTTTTGTTGCAATTTATCTGATATGAGGTTTTCTAAAAAGTTTAAAAAAGATAATAAAAAAATTGTATTTTCAAATGTGTTGAAATTCTGGATTTTTTTATTTTCTATTAAATTTTAATTAATTAAAATTAACATTCTATTTGATTCACATAGTTTAAATAAAAATTCTGTGAAAATGAAAAATCAGTTAATCATATTAAGTTAGAAATTCTGTTAATAATTACTTTGTTTAATTAAATTAATTCTAAAGGCGTGATATTCTTTTGAATTTGAATTCGGCTATATATAGCTTCGAATTAGAAACACAATCTCTTATAGTGAATTGTGATTAAATATTTATAATTAATAATTAATATGAAAAAGAAATTTTAATGATAAAATAAAAAACGTATTTTTAAGCGCACAGTAGCCATAGGTGCATATATATGTTTGATGAATGTACATGTGTATAATAATACATATACATTTAAACATATAGCTTAGGGATACGAAAATAAATAGGATGGGTGGCGCGATAATGAGCTACCGCGCGTTGATATCAGCAGAGAATATACACAGCGAAAGCTCGCACACGATATAGATATGAGGTTGTCCGTGTTTACGTAAAATGTCCTCTATGTTGAAGTACATAGGCCACAGACACGATTTCGTGTTTGGATCAGGGGTTGGGCAAGCGTTGGTCGCCATGACGACAAGCAACCCCCAGGACCCTCGTTTCTCGTTGCTGGGGTTGGTTGAAAGGGTGGCTAGGGCGGCTAGTATAGGTTAGGTTAGACTCGCTGTGAATGTCACACGAAGCAAAGGGGACAAGGACGCACCTACTATTACTACTACTACTTCTCTGATGTGAGCGCGGCGGGGTGCCATCGGGCCAAGATGGCCGCCTCGACACCATCATGTCAATAACACTATCCTACCCTCTGGGCTCTCTGCTCTGCTGGAAAGCACCAGAGTTACGCACTATACCCTTTCATTTTCGTTTTTCCTTCTTGCAAGCACCTAATTAACGTTGGTGGGTGCACTCTCTCTCCAAACCATAACCAAATGCAAAAGACCGCCCTTCAATGCGACCACGTAATTACGTTAAGGGCCTTCGAAAACTTCGTTAGCTGCATTCCCATCATTAACTTCGTTGTGCTTACTTAAGCGTACGCGTCGATGCAAAAGTCTTCGGTTTATGCACGTACGCAGAAACGCTCGAATCTTCATAAAAGGTTTACAGAAACTCATCTGAGTTCTAATTTTACGCTCCACGAAGAAGACCCAAGAAATTTTAGCGATTATATTTAATATTTAACTTGGATTTTGCAATACTACTAAATTTTCATTACAACCAAAATTTGGTTCAATCAAATCAATTTTTTTGGGGCCTGAAAAATTTGGTTTCCACAAATATCAGCTTCCTTTGTTAGATTTTCTCATATAATAAACAAATTGTTTATTCAAATTCCATTCAACGGATTATTATAATTCTTTTATATCTTTTTTTGACTCTCGCATATATATGAGAATGAAATAATCTTAATGATCAAAAGTTTGATGCGGATTTTGTGCAATTAAAAAACAAGTCGACAAGTCATTGGAGCATTCAATTAAATGCAATTTGCTAAACTGGATCGCGGTTCTGAATTAATTGGCACTTGATTTCTTCCCCCATTCACCACAGACTACTCGAGATTGACTTCAGGAAGGATCAATCGGTCCTCGAGACCACCCTCGCGATAACAATCCCTCTACTTAGTTTGTTTGGCTCTATATATATATAATATTCGAGAGAAAAGACATTGTGCGCGGATTCAATATTGTCCGAAACCTTCAATTTTGTTTTGCTTTCTTCAATCTCTCCATATTCTTACGTATAAATAGAAGATATTGTTATAGGAACTCGATTGTTCACTGAAAAAAAAAATCTTTTGATATCACGGAAAAATTTTAATTTGGTATATGAAGATAATGGTAAAAATTATGAATTAAAAAGAATTTGAAAAGTTAATGATATAAAAAAAACTACCATATTGAATGCAGAATCTAAATATAAGTGTGAATAAAACTATCAATTTTAACATTAAAAATTTGAAAATTTCCATTTTTCAAAAATCAAATTTTCGATTTCAATTAAAATTTGATTTAATTTTCTTTTACAATATTGAAAGCAAATTACAGTTAAAAGTTAAATTGAAATAAAATGCAAGTAAATTCTGTAAAAACGATTGCTTTTTTAATTGTATTTTATAATCATTTACTTTTATTTATAAACATTTTACGTTTGTAGGTTTTATATATACTATATATATGTATATGAATGAAATTGATTCAGGTCGATCATATACGCTCGTCTGTTTGACCAATGATGAATAAACAAACACTTTATTCGTTTTGAAGTCCGCAGCTCTATACAAAAGGGCAAATGATCTTTTATTACATATATATGTGTATATAGTTGAAGCGTTGAAGCCACTGTCAAATGTTCGTCATGCTAAATGTTAATTAACAGTAAAGTCTCTGTTGTCATCGTGCCTGTAATTATATACCCGGGTGCACACATTTCCATTTATCCGATTGGCCACGTTTATTTATAGCTAGCGGCAAACAGTAGTCATAGCAGCTGGCCAACGTTCATTGAGAAGCTTCCATTTGCAGAATTACATCCAAGAGGGTGTGCAATTGATTCATCTCAAATAATCATTACGCTCAATGACTGTCTTTCTCCGCCTCTCTCTCTTTCGACGCAACACAGCTGCAACTTCTTAAAATGTCGTGCCATTTTATTCTTCATTCCCGTTCGTCGCTTATTATACATTCATTGCTATTCAGATGAAATTAATCATTTACTTGATACCTATATTTATTTCAATATCAAGTGTATTGAACCCTGAAGAGATTGCACCACTCATTTTTTGTAGACAGTTCCGGGGAATTTGGTGATATTCCAGAAGAATTATATCACAAAATTAATTTTTCGAAAATTTTTCCAAAATGAATTTAAGTGTAGCTCAGCATCCGCTGGACCAATTAAAAAGTGCGCCATACATTTTTTGTTCGAGACTTTTTGCTCAATTTTTTGGCATTATTCCCGAGTCATTATCTGGCAAATTTTTTTTTTCGAAAATTTTTCCCCAGTTTTAGTGAGTGTAGCTCAGCATCCGCTGGACCAATCAAAAAGTGCGCCATACATTTTTTGTTCGAGACTTTTTGCTCAATTTTTTGGCATTATTCCCGAGTCATTATCTGGCAAATTTTTTTTTTCGAAAATTTTTCCCCAGTTTTAGTGAGTGTAGCTCAGCATCCGCTGGACCAATCAAAAAGTGCGCCATACATTTTTTGTTCGAGACTTTTTGCTCAATTTTTTGGCATTATTCCCGAGTCATTATCTGACAAATTTTTTTTTTCGAAAATTTTTCCCCAGTTTTAGTGAGTGTAGCTCAGCATCCGCTGGACCAATCAAAAAGTGCGCCATACATTTTTTGTTCGAGACTTTTTGCTCAATTTTATTGGCGGTATTCCCGAGCGATTATCTCGCAAATTTAATTTTTCGAAAATTTTTCCAAAATGAATTTGAGTGTAGCTCAGCATCCGCTGGACCAATCAAAAAGTGTGCCATACATTTTTTGTTCGAAACTTTTTCCCTATTTTATTGGCGGTATTCCCGAGCGATTATCTCGCAAATTTAATTTTTCGAAAATTTTTCCAAAATGAATTTGAGTGCAGCTCAGCATCCGCTGGACCAATCAAAAAGTGTGCCATACATATTTTGTTCAGAACTTTCTTCTAAATACTTTAGCGGTATTCCCGAACGATTATCTCGCAAATTTAATTTTTCGAAAATTTTTCCAAATTTGTTTTCTAGTGTAGCTCAGCATCCGCTGGACCAATCAAAAAGTGCGCCATACATTTTTTGTTCGCTACTTTTTGCTAAAGACTTTGGCGGTATTCCCGAACGATTATCTCGCAAATTTAATTTTTCGAAAATTTTTCATAAATGCATTTGAGTGTAGCTCAGCATCCGTTGGACCAATCTAAAAGTGCGCCATACATATTTTGTTT